TTTGTATCTGATAAAGAGTTAAAGTGAGAAAAAGAGTTTTAACTCAGATCAGATAGAAAGAGACACTTGGTCTGCCATTGTTTTAGAGGGTTAAAATGTGTTTGTGTGCAAGTGAGATGTACAGATGTAGATGCCTTTAGATATGTAGTTGCTGCGATGAGAACAAAAGATATTTAACTCACACATAGTACTAGACAATAGGCTATTAACACCCAACTCATTTAGACAGGACAGCTGAAAGAAGAAACATTTTGCAAAGCCCTAGTTACCTCTAAAATATAATGGCAGTGGAAATCATTTATTTTACACCTAAAATCTTTTTATTTTGTCTCAAACCGCTGTTTGAGCTGACCGTGATGTTAAATATTTTATTTACATTTTTGCTGTTTTCAATTATCGTGACTTATTTTTTGTAATGTCTTGGCCAGGACTCTTGTAAAAGACATTTTAGATATCAATAGTTTTTATTTTCCTGGTAAAACACTCTTAAATATAAAGGTCCAGAAAGGCGATGCCATAAAAGAACCATTATTTTCACAGCAACGCTATATAGAAGATGCGTTTTTGATTCCCTAACCTTTCAGTGAACACTGAACAGTAATATTTTAATAAGAACATTTTTTCCACTATAAAACCTTTTGTAAAATCAAAAGGTTCCATGGAAGTTAAAGGTTCTTTATGGAACCATATACATGCCTATAAAGAACCTTTATTTTTAAGAGTGAATAAAGGTTAAATATAGGCAATTTATTTTTATTTATAATTTATTTGACTAAATCAGTTTATTTATTTATTCGGTAAATTAAAATTACATTTATTTCCATAGGCCTATTTATCTTAAATATAGGCTACATTTAATGTAGGCCCTATATTTATTTTATTATAATTTTTTTTTTTAAGTATTAAATTATTACATTGAAAATTTTATTTGCTTTGTGATGCTTGCTTGAACAATAACATAGTGTGCCCTCTAGTGTGCGTTTATAGCTAGTACATTTTACACACTTGATAAATAGGAGCCAATTTTGTGAAGATGTTTTACAGAATGTCTTAAGAATCTTAGTATTCTATATTTCCATAAAACACCCCACCCAGAATGTACACATACAGCTGGTTTTAACTGGCAGACCAGTACTACATATAAAACCTTTCCCATCACAGAGTAAGAAAGCACACAGTTCCTATGGGAAAGGGTGTAGGACTTCCTGCAACAAATCACAGCCTTTTGTAATCAATCATCAGCTCCCTGTAGACACAATTTTAAAAACGGAACAAAAATCACACACATTAATGTCCTGGCACACTGGAATCTCGAGCTTCACACTCGTGTGCATGAAGATTGTTTCGGTTTCTTGCCCATCCGTCTGTAGTTCCAGAACACTGTGTGATTTTACATGCTCATAAATCCTGTCATTCCAAATCAGCCTTTCCTTCCCATGCATGTTCAGCGCCATGCAGGAAGGAAATAGTGTTTATATTGGAACTCCAGTGATATATGAAGCGATGAAGCATTGGGAGGGAGATGGAGAAAAGACAGAGATGTTTTAAATGCACACCTTCTCACCCGGCCACATTACCATCGTGTTGCTTCCTGTGTGTTATTTGGGGGCTTCTGCAAGTTCACAGCTCTCTCTCTCTCTCTCTCTCTCTCTCTCTCTCTCTCTCTCTCTCTCTCTCTCTCTCTCTCTCTCTCTCTCTCTCTCTCTTCTCTCTCTCTCTCTCTCTCTCTCTCTCTCTCTCTCTCTCTCTCTCTCTCTCTCTCTCTCTCTCTCTCTCTCGTGCCCACCTGTCACCTACAAGCCGCTTAACTTTCCCAGCATCACGGTGAATCACTGGCCCACAGAATTTCCAACAGTTATCTGATGGACTGAAGATTATTAAATGCGCATACATGGGCAACATTTTAACCAATTTGAGACACAATCTTGTTAAACTGCTACTTTTGGACTGCGGTCTGTTTCATGTTTCAGGATAAATGTAGGCAAATCTGCCTATTTGTTTTCTATCAGCACTGTATAATATTTTGTAGTCAGGTACTCATGTGTCATAGGTACACCTAAATTAATTAAATTAAATTAATTTTATTCTAAATGTGTTTGAAATGAGTCAAAAACACTGGTAACACTTTACAATAAGGTTTCATTTGTTAACGCATTAAGCATTAACTACTAACGGTTACTCTTTATTTTAGGGCGATATTAGCCTACATTGTACTCAAATAACGGAGTAATATTAATTAACATGCACTTACTATAGAGTTACGATTAGGGTTTTGTTTAGGGTTAGTTAACTGTAATCATGCCTAATTTACTGTTATTAGTAAGTACATATAGTAACGTGTAACTGTCCCCTTAAAATGTTACCAAACTAACTATGAGCCATACATTTGTTACAGTATTTATTCATCTTTGTTAATGTTAATAAAAATCTGTTCATTGTTTGTTCATGTTACTTTACGGTGCATTAGCTAATGTTAAAAAAACACAACTTTTAATTTTAAAAATGTATCAGTAAATGTTGAAATTAACATTAAAGGTTAATACATGCTGTAGAAGTACAGTTCATTATTAGTTCATGTTAACTAATGTAGTTAACTAATGAAACCTTACATATAACACTAATCAAAAAATATGATATAATGATCTAATTATTATTTAACTAAAGTCATTTTTTAGGATCAATAAGGTAGTAATATCTCCTTACACTCTTAAAAGCCATTAAGAAAGAAAAGCCATTTCAAAGAACAAATTCTGTCTTAGTGTGAAGAACCCTTTTATAAAGAACCTTTTGGAATGAAAGGGGACGTTAAAGCTTCTTCATGAAACCATCAATGCCAATAAAGAACCTTTATATAAGAGTGCGAGGTTATACACAGAATCACACATTGTCTCAAACACAAAGTAAATGGTTGCATCTTTCAGTGATATATTTCACAAACACACTTACCTGTATCTATGTCTGGTATATCTGATGTTGGCAGTGTGTTCATTTCTCCAAATAGTTTTCTTTAATGCCAGTCTGGACAATCTTGTGTTTCTTGTCTTTAAGGCGATGTATATATCTCTGTATGATCTCTTTGTGTGTCTCTGTGTTGCCTGTGAAGCAAACAGAGGAAACCACTGAGTTTTGATCTCATTGGAATCACTGAAGCCACGCGAGTTACCGGCTTCCTGCTGCGCTCTCATTGGTGACATAAAATGTGGCCTGGTGTTTATTTCATAAAGGTTGATTTAAGAAGGTGTGTCGAGAAGCTTGATGATGACACTTGTTGTCTTCCATTTCCTCGAAGTACGAGTAAAAGCCTTAATATTTCAATTATCCACAGTGACTGGGGGAAATGAGGCCAAAGTACATCTGTGACCCCTTGATTTAGTTCACTTCTCACTGGACTTTCATTCTGTTTACATGTGCACCCAAAAATGTTGTGCTCATGGTTAACACTACTTGAGATTTTGAGAATCTGAATGGATCTGACTCTTTTCTGTTCTGTTCATACTGTTGGGTTGCACTTTATTTTATACCTAAGAAAGTATTGGGTAATATAAAGTACTGTAACAACATAAGTTTGGGTTTAGGGGTATGTTCAGGGTTAGTACTAGTTATTACCTAGTTATCAAAAGTGGGGAATAGGATTGTGGGGAATAGGATTGTAAAATAAAGTGCTACTTTGTTATATGTCATATTGTCTGTGCAGCTAATTAATTAATAATACACACTTTTCCTCAGTTTTTATTTGATCACTTTTTGTTTAATGAATAGCCTACTTTTTAATTGACTGTTGTATTTTAAATATAGTACCTAAAGGCATGTCATTCTGTTATGCTTGAAGGACAATAGAGTGAAGAAGATCGCGAGGGAAAATTTGTGAATGATGTCAGCAGTGATAAAATCTGTATAGCATTTCTTTTATTGTACAATGATCACTTGCAGCAGGTTTTGCAATTGAGTTTGTTTCACGATTACTGTCGAGCTCTGAGAGGGAGTTTCAGATGAAAACCACTGAGAAAAGATCAAACTGATTAAACTGTTACCTTCAGTGCTGCACAAACAACAAGAGAAATATGTGACCTTGTCTATTGCAGTAATTCTCAATCTTTAAAGGCCCATCATTGTCCAACACAATTTTCAAATAAAAGTATTTTTGCAATAATTATGAAAAAATCTTCTTTTTTTTTAAATGAGAAACTGGGAAACAATAGTTATTGAGGGGAAATGAAATAAAGAAATATGATGTCTCCATTTTGTTACTGTTTTTTATTAATTTATTAATTAAATTAATAATTTGAATAATTTAAGTCATCCTTCGGCCCCTAGTGGTGCCCTGCCCACTGGTTGAGAAACACTATTGGCTCTAACGCAGCATTTATTGGTAAATTACAACATTTTTCTATACACTTTTCCTCAGTTTTAGATTATCACCTTTTGTTTTGTTTGTTCTGCATTAGGCCTAGAAAGAAAAGAAAGTTATAGGCTGGCTGTCATATGGATTCATACAATTAAACATGGAAAATAAAAAAAATAGGTGCATACCACATTTCATAAATATTGTATTATTTTGTAATACTATTTATTATATTATTTGGCAACCTTCGGTCACATTTTATACCCATGTTATTATAGCCTACTGTAATTATCTAATAAACAATGAGTATTAAATGAGCATGCATAGCCTGTAAATTTAAATTTTCACGAGTAAATACTAAATTCTCAGGAATGAACAAACTTAATGCGTAATTGGTGCACATTGTGAGTAGCCAATGTTGACTAATGAAATGACAGAAATTATGAGTAAGGATACAATTCTAAATGTATTACATAAAATTATGACGCCGTGATATGATATAGCAAATCTTTTGTTGGTTTAAATGCATATTTAATAAAACGTTTTGTTCAACTGAACATCCGGGACTGCGAGGTTGTTGCCTCCCTGTTGCCTATGGCGGGTTGTTGATGGTTGCTTTGGTGATACCATAGAGGGTGATACGCGGAGCTCTTCCGGGTCTTAAAGTCGTGTTTACGAATAAGCAGCGGTGAATTGCATAATCCCTCGTCGATGGTGTAATCGTTCTGTCCAGCCTCTTCCTACAGCTTTATTGCGGTACTTTATACATCATTAATGGGTCCAAACAGAATTTACATTAGTGTAGGTTATGCCACATTCGGCATGTTGGTGGGGTTTTCGGCGTTTATCGTGTGGAATGTGGTTTATAAACAACCGTGGACGGCGGCGATGGGCGGATTATCAGGTCTGTAAATAAACTCAAGGCCACACACAGCCTTAACACATCCACTGTCAAATATAAAGATTTCACATCGTGTTTCTTTTACTGTCATGTTTTTTTTAATTTGGTGAATTGCGTATTGTGTGATCTTGCGGTTGACACGATCTGCTGTCACATTGTGTAAAATAAGTCTGCTGAGCTGTGGAAGGTTTGCCTTTCCAATAGAGATAAAACTGGTGATTATATTATGTATTTCTTTGAAAAAATCAGCCTGCTATATTCTTAGATTGAGTTTGGAAATAATAACCCGTAAATATGCAGATATGTGACCATCTGTACTGTAGCCTACGCAGACAGAGAGACGAATAAAGAAACACACAGTAACGTTAACGTTACAGTGCTGCAAAAGTCATGGAATAAACAGAAAATGTTAATAACAATAAGTTATGATAAAAGTAATCAACAATATTTAATAATGTATATTAAATAATTTACACCAACGAATCAAATAAGCAGTGTTGATGCAAGTTGATTTTGTTTTCAGTTTTTGAGTTTTATTTTCAATTTTCACTCAAATTGTTATGCTGATATGAATATTATTTATAATTTATCTATTTTGTATAAAAATGGAAATAGCAAAGAGAAAATCCCTCATGGTCTCAGTCTTTTGGGTCCCACTGTAATTATAATTGCAGATAGATAGATAGATAGATAGATAGATTATTAATCTCATGATTTGTGTATGTTATGTGTTTAAATCTACAGGCGTTCTGGCACTCTGGGCATTGGTCACTCACATTATGTACATTCAGGACTACTGGCGCACATGGCTGAAGGGACTCAAGTTCTTCATGTTTGTTAGTTCTGTCTTCTCCCTCCTGGCTGTTTCTGCTTTTGCCACCTTCATAACTCTAGCCGTTATAGAAAAGCAGTGTAAGTACCTTCACATGGACAGCTTTGTCGAATAAAATATTTCCCCACACAAAATCTGTAATAATGCAAGATTGTAGTGTTGTCTGTAATCCGTTCTGTATGTTTTTGTCTTCAGCATTAACTGACCCCAAGAGCTTCTATCTGTCGGCCGTGTGGAGCTTCATGACTCTTAAATGGGCCTTCCTGCTGGGCATGTACTCTTTCCGTTACCGCCAGGAGTTTGCTGACATCAGCATCCTCAGTGACTTTTGATTGGCTGCTTCAGCTGCAAAGGATTTGTAGTTGCAATTGGCAGGTGAAGCCACCGATGTGGAGATGAAGGATGGATTGATGGTTCTCCTTTTTTAATACCGTCTTAACGGCCTCCTTGCTTTCACAGAAAAGACTCAAATCTCAGCCCTTCCTTCCCCTCAGATCCGGGCCCTGGAGTAAGAAGTTGGTGAATGTCTGTGATCTGCCTCTTTCCTGTCTTTTTGAGTTAATAGGGGGTTTTATATTGACATTGGGTCAAAGTGTTTCAAAGGCAGTGGATACACTAGAATGTGTTCACAGGTAGTTGTTACTTTACTCAGGGCAACTTCTCTATAAATGTCAGACGTGAAGTGATGGCTCCCCTTCACTGCCGGAAAAAATTGCAAAGGTTGTACATTTAGGGGTGCAAAAACTTGTCACTGGGTCAGTACCCTTAAAGAGACACCTTTGTACCTTATAAGGATGCATATTGGCAAAGTCCCTTGAAGGCTAGTCATTTCACACGGTGGCCATCTTTGAAGATTATTCATGTGTCCATCCATATACATACATAGATTCCTCATTAGCGGCTGTTTCTGTGGGCCGCTATATGTAAGCCGTCCGCCATATTGGAATGGTCAAAGCTGGTCTGTGAACTCTCGAGAGCAAGTTGACTGTGGGTCTGCAGTCGTAGTTATATGCATATATGAATATCTATGTCTGCAAAGCACAGCAGATGATTTTGTTAAACAAACACAAGACGCAAATGTCAGCTAACATGACATTAAAAACTTACCATATTTGCCAAGTTACCATAAAAACCTGCAATATTGAGTTAATCCATATAAAAACACAAACCAACACATTCTCACCTGTGAAAGGTTATCCCATTTCTTCGGGAATTTTAATCTCTGCAGTTTTTGCAACAAGGCTGCGCAGTGTGGTGGCATTTCGGAAAACTCATTAGCTGCGTCTGAAAAACAGTATGTCAAAAGAGTAGTATGTAGTATACATAGTATTTGAAAAGTAGGCAAAAAAGTGGACGCTTTACTATCCCGTGAGGCCACAGGAGACAATTTATGAATGGCAGTGAAGCGACCCAACTGCCCCTGGTAGGTCACGTGAGTTGACTAGGGCTGTCACTTTACGTTCGAATGCACAATCGATCGGACCAACCAACACAAGTTTCGAAAACGAAAATAGGGAATCGATTTTAACTGCCTTTTTTACCAAAAATGTGTTTTAGGTGGACAGAACAATACAGGACACAGAACATGTAGGATGTTGGAAAATAACAATGTGTTTTCTGTTAACCAAATGCTTTTTAATATTCGCTATTACTTCAATGCAAGTGAACAAGCGCGTCGTTATTTGTTGCTTAGTGACGTGTGTGTTCAAGTAAGCCAGATATGAGCAGATTCTGCGCAATACACTGTATGTAATATATCATGAGGACTCACGAGTTGCGTATTTGCGCTAAATCCCCACAAATTTGGCTTACACGAACTTCCCCAGCAAAGATAGTGAGTAAACATAGAAACATGCCAAATTGGCTCATGATTTGACAGCGTTTCCCGCCAAAGTTCATTTTTACCCGCATTTGGCGGGTTGGAGGGTGTTCATTTCAATCCCTGAATGTTGCACTCCTGTTTGTCATTGTGCACGAAACTTACGCCAATAAATCATCAGAAATATTGCTGACTTGTGCGTCTCAAGCGCCCTCTTTACGTTCGTCCTAATGCCTGTTAGTTGTCCGTGGATTTGCCTATATTTGGTGTTGAAAATGACATGGAAAATCGATTTTACAATCGATTCAATGAACACTTATGTCTCAAAAATCGAACAGGATTTTTTCACAAAAGTGACAGCCCTGCACGTGACAGTAACAACTTGGCAGATGTACATCCAAATTTCATTCATAATACCCATATTCATACTATATAGACTAGAGCATACTTTGTTTTACTGATCACCCAACTCGGACAGTACGCGATTTCGGACGCAGCGTTTGCTTGCTTACTGTGAGTGACAACAGCATCTGAAATGTTGACTGTTCCAATATGGCGGACATCAACGTGTCTTTGGAGGGGTCAAATGTGGCATATAAGTATATCTATTGTGATTTTGCTATGCGTTTTCTATGTCTATGCGTTTTACCCAAAGTTTTTTTACTCAAATATTTTTCAAATCTCTGCGACAAGAAAAAATTCCCCGCCTCGTCACGCTGCTGGCTTTCTTAAATTTGCAGTGCTCCCATTGAAAAGAATTGAAAAAATACACTGGCCATAGGAAACCACACAGATAATATGCAGTCTATACTGTGAACCCATTTGGGGCAGATATAATATATAAATAAAAGTTGCTTTGAGGGGACTGCTGTTGTGACAAGTTGTTGTAACTTTAAAGGTAAAACTTTTTTTGCAGAGCTGTAGGCCATCTAGGAGCTTCAGTCAGCGATGGTGAAATTGACTTTAATGTTGGTTTTAATGTTGCTATAGATTTCAGACATAGTGTTCTTTATTGTTTGCCATCTGTTATTGCTTTTTAAATGTTGTTTATACTTAGTTTTATTTATGATTGGAAGTTGAGAATTATTTGTGACTGTGTTCGGAATCGGAACAGCATACTACCATACTACTATTTCTACAGTATGTACACTACCATTTAAAATTTTGGGGGAGGTAATATGTTTTTTGAAAAATGATGAAAGAAGTCTCTTATGCTGAACAAGGCAGTAAAAGAGTAAACCATATTTTAAAATGTAATTTAATCTTGTGATGCAAAGCTGAATTTTCAGCATCATTACTCCAGTCTTCAGTGTCACATGATCCTTCAGAAATCATTCTAATATGCTGATTTGCTCATTAAACATTTTGTTGCCTTTTTTAGGATTCTTTGATGAATAGAACGTTCAAAAGAACAGCATTTTTTTAAAATAGAAACATTTTTGTATCAATTTTAAAAATGATACAGTCACTTTTGATCGTTTTAATGCATCCTTGCTGAAGAAAAAACAAATATGTTTTTTAAAGTACTATAAAAAAATCGAAAAGTATTTAATAAATTCTTATTTATTAACCCCATACTTTTGAAAAAGTGCATTATACAACTGCACACGCTGCACAGAATTTCAGACATTTTTAACATCTTGACTCATTATTTGATCAGATTACTAAAAGTCAAGGCATGCAAAAATGAAAATGATCATGCATTATTTATTACTCGCTCATGTAAGACAATGTAGCATTCCAAGGTGATTATTGCATCATGCCTTCATCATGCATACTATCTTTAAATGCATAGTACTGTAAATATTTGGCAGTATGACTAGTATTCCGTTCCGCACGATGTATTATTATTATTATGCAGTTCCTCTCTTTGCCACTAGTGAGGGTGATGGAGAAATTGAATGAAGGACTAACTTGTGCTTGCATCTGCAGATATTGTTTTTAGTTACATATAGGCCTAATCACTAAATTGTAGCTGAATTCACAATATTGTTGAATACTAAATATCTGTGTTATGTCATCTGAAATGTTACTTTTCTTTAGAATGTTCTGGCAGACAAAACAAGTATGTGTTTATGTTTTTTAAATTCATGTGCTTTAAAAGATGAGTGTTCTGTTTGTCTGTCTGTTGAGCAGATATTAAGTGTGGTTGCTTGAGTCTGATTTTAGATGTTAAAGGAATAGTTTAAAAAATTCAGTCATTTATTCACTGTCATGTCTTTCAAATCCTAAGTACAGTATTTTATAGCTCATAGCTTTGTATGAGAAACAGACCAACATTTAATTTGTTATCCCCTGATAATCATCTCTGTTGTGTCCAATGAGAGGAAAAAACATTGTTTTGATTTGAACGACATGATGAAGGCGAGTAAATAATTTTTGAACTGACTATTTATCTAAGTCTTTTGAAAAATAATTCATTTTTTAAGAGCCAAAAAGTAACAAAACACGATTTACATTGCACTAGGTCACATAGAAATGTTAAATGTATTGTTTGTTTAAACAAATAGAAAAGGTCACCTTCAAAACAAACTTTTTCAGACAATATTTCACTCTATAGCATGTATGTGAAGCAGTTTTGTATCACGTTTGCTTTTAACCAGATGTATGCAAATTTATCCCTGATTACAGTTAAACTACCTGCAGTTTAAAACTTTGCACAGTACTTGTTACATTGGGACATTTAAGGGGATTAAAGTAGTTTTAATCTCTCCCGCAAATCCTGTGTGTTGCCTCATTTTTTCACCTTTTTTCCATCCATCCATCAGAGTTCCTGATGTACAAAGTGATCTGAAGCCATGCATTTTGTGGTTACACTTCATTTCGATAGTCCACTTAAGGTGTTCTAACTATAAGTAATTTTGCAACTACATGTCAACTAATTTGCAACTACATGAGCTAACTCTTATTAGAGTACTAGTAGACTGTTAGGTTAAGGTTAGTAGAAAAAATTGACGTACTTGGCTGCAAAGTTATAGTCAGTCGAATCAATGTCTAAAGTGGGCTATCGAATGTAATTTTTTGCATGTTTGAGCATATTACACTTCTTACCAGCAGGGAGCAGTAGTTCATATAATATTATTTTACTTCAGCTAAGCTTCCACATGAGTCCTGGTGGTAAGTGTTTTCCATTTAAAGTTTAGCATTCGAACATTTGCTTGTAAACAAGTTAACATTGCAGCTTATATCTGCGGACTCATTGACTAACAGATGTAGCCTATATAACGTTAGCTCTGTAGGACTGACTCACCATTGTGACTCAAATGTAAACCTTAAATACAAATTGTTACATTAAGGATGTATACAGGCTGAAACAGACCTTCACTCCTTTTCAAGGGGTGGCGATATGCTGCTCTTCGAGCTGGTTAAAAACACAAAGTTTAATCTGGAGTGAAGAAGGGATCACATCTTTAAGCGCATCAGAAAGGTTGCCAAACCCGGGTTTTTCCCGCGGGATTGGCCTACTTTAAAACTGTCGGCGCGGGTTAAAGGTTTGAAATAGTACGTAATTTATATTCGACTAAAATGCTTGTATTGAAAGGTTTTATATTCTACCAAAGATAAAACTGTGTCTGATGTTAAGTTTTGTGAAGGAGGGTCATCGGGAGCCTTAATTTGAGCTGTATTTTTGGGATACCTGCTGTGGTCTGTTTTTGTTCGGCCATTGGGCTAGTTTTGTTACGCAGACCTGGCAACCCTGAATGTGAAATCTCACTTAAACCACACGAAAAGCTACATGTAAGTACTCCTTAAAGAATCATTGGTAACACTTTATTTTACAATGTCCTTGTTACACATGATGACATGTTACATGTAGTTACTGTAGTAATAACTATAAATTATACATAATTGCACGCAACCCTAAGAAAACACAAAATCCTAACCCTAATGTAAGTAACTTACACGTAGTTAATTATTATTACACAGTAATAATATTACACAGCCTACACTGTAACACAGACACCTTAAAATTAAGTATAATCAAATCATGCCATAATTTCAATATACCTAGCCTAGTACATTGTAAAACTGTTATGACATTGCAGCGTGTGGATCACTTTAAGTTTTTTTTTGTTTATCTAATCACATAATACACTAACTATGAATACATGAGAAGAGATTGCAGACCTAATAGAATTAATCAGAAATCTATTGGCAGAAAATGCTTAAATTTAGTAGTTTCAAATAATAATAGTCATGATGTTCTGTGCTGTAGCTATGCAATTTTTGCTGACTTAAATAAATGCAATCAACATGTTTTAACATAAATGTAGCATGTGTAGAAACAACACAGGCCTGTTGTGCAACACTAGTCTTCAGGATGTGGGCTTGTCATCAGCGAAGTGTAAAAGTAGAAGGGAAACTGTTGGGACAAGTGTTGACAGGAAGTGGTTTGTTTCTGTATGTTTATTATACAGTTTGCCTTTATCAGACCATACACCAGATGACTGCTTCAGGCACAATGCAGCTCAACAGAGGCAAGTATACTCTGTGTTGTTTTGTATTTTAAATGCTATTTTGAGACTGTTATTTTTTATCTTCAAACCATAGTGCCTTTGACATTTAAATGTTGTTATTAAACCAGTATTTTCAGCAGATGATAGTTTTGCATGTTTTACTAAGCGGCTTAAAAGTGATGAATCATTTTTCTTTTAACATATTTTAAATTCACTATACTGTTCAAAAGGTTTGGATCAGTAAGATTGTTTTATTTTTTATTTAATACATTACATTTATCAAATGTTCAAATTTTAAATAAATGCATTTTTTTAAACTTTCTATTCTTCAATAATAACAACCAGCACTGTTTTTAAGCAAATCAGCATATTAGAATGATTTCTGAAGGATCATGTGACACTGAAGTCTGGAGTAATGATGCTGAAAATTCAGCTTTGCCATCACAAGAATAAATTACATTTTTAAATATATTATATAGAAAAAAATACGTTCAATTTTAATAATATTTAACAATATTACTTTTACTGTACAAATACATACAGCAAATACTTCTTTTTTTATATAAGAGACTACAAAAATCTTTCCAACCACAACATTTTAAACAGTGCAGTATATTAATATCTAAAGTAGCTATTCGCTGATGTTGAATTTGAATCTGTCAAAAAATAACAGATTCTTGTGTCACATACCACAAAAAATATAATTAAATAACATAAAATTACTCAGCATGTAAGACCTCTTAAAGGTATTGCATCTAATATGTTGTATCTTTTTTTGCCATTCGTTGCTACAAAATTGTGCATTTGAATATTTTCTGTAAAAACATTCACACTGACATCAGGAAGTGGTTTTTAATGCAGGTTTCCGGAACACTGGAACAGCCACAGGCCTTTTAACTTGCTCTAAAAAACAACTGTTGCAAACTACTTTTTAACATCTTCCATAGAAAATTTTGAATATCGATGGAATGTATCAAGTTATTAATAATTGTTTTTTTTTTTCAGCTTTTGCATTCCTTTGCTTGGTGATTTCAGTGGGTAAGTGCACTACCTGTTTAAAATGTCATTCAACCACCTCTCAAGGAGAACGCTGTATTTGGTACAAGCACACCGCTGCTAGATTAGAGAGTACTCGAGAGGGACACTTTTGAGAGGCAGAACAAGCTGTAACTGAAATAGTGCTGCAGAGGGCATTCAGAGTGATGATAATAATAAGAACATGTTCTGCTTCACTCGTCCATCACAGGTGCGCAGAGGAATCATAGACTGACCTGTTATCTGGATGTTTTAACACACCGCACACGTGAGGGTCCATGCACTCATATCATTCTCCCCTCGATCTCCAGTGAGGAAGACCTTTACCGTCAAAGCTTGTCGGAAGATGACCGCATTATTCTTAGAAAGATGAAGGAGAGGTCTGATTATTGATATCTCTTTCTAGACTCATTATTTGACTGGTGTTCTGACATTTTAAGAAATTGACAGTAAAACAACCACTTGTTCAATTCCACATGCAACATGATCATATATCCATCCATCCAATACATACATCCATCCATCCATACTCTATATATATATATTGCATGTATTGTTTTCAGTAAACTTTATTTGTACTGTATACATTTTGCATGTATTGTTTTCAGTAATTTCAGTCTTTTACACACACACACACACACACACACATATATATATATATATATATATATATATACATTCATAGAAATATATAACTTTCCCTAGAAATCCAACTTTGAAGATTTTGCTTGGATTGGAAGTCAGATCATCAAGGTACCAAAAATTTCAACCTACTAAAATCACACCATTAATGATAACTATAACGGTAACTACAGAATGTGCGAGTTAAAATTGTATGTGGTCGCATTTGTGCGAGTGGACGCTCGCGCAACAGAACGCCGTTGTATCAGCGGCTGCTGCAGTCCGTAACAGTAACTTATGTTCAAAATGAACGAGTACATCATGAATCCATTTTTCAAACCGTGTTTTTGACTTATCCTGAATCACTACGGTACGCCTATAATAAGTGTTTATATTCGGACTATTTTATCCCGTGTAGATGCCCAGTGCCTGCGTGACTCGCCATTGTACGGTGGCGGAGACAGCTCAACGCGCTGCAACTGAAGCAAACAACACATGCAAATAGAGAAAAACGCGTGCACATAGAAAAAAAACGCATGCAAATAGAAAAAAACACATGCAAATAGAAAAACATCTTCATCAGTTTCACAACACACGTGTGCTCCAAATTGGAAACGCGCTGCAAAAGTTCACAACACAACCAAATACAGAAAACGCGCTGCAAATAACACAGACCACAACGGAAATGTTTCCAGGGGAACCAAATAAGTGACGAACCCGGCTGAGACGTGCTTATTGCTCGTGAGCTTCCCTATGCCATACTCCCTTCGAAGGGCAGATTGCAGAGCCCTTAAAGTGGGACTGTGGAGGGAGCAGGGCTCTAGTGTGCTGTTATGTAGCCGTGTGGAGCGCACTTGATGAAGGGAGCAACTAAAGACAACGTAATTTCCTCATTATTTTCACCTGGGATGTTCCCATGACAACGCAGCACGGTGTCCATCAGCTGGTCTTACAACAGAAATATAATGCTGTTAACATAACGGATGCAAATACATTTTTATTTTTATTTGACAAAAAAGCTGTTAAAATATGCGTTATATATCTGTGTGTCTCAACTTTAAAATTTTGGACCCTACATTACCTAACATTTCTTACGAAACTTTTCTTTATGAAAATGTAATAACATGAAACAATTTGTACAGAGTAACTGATGTAACTTATAGATACATATCTTTCCTTCATGTTTTTCTTCTTTTTCTTTTTTCTTTATTTATTTTAGTTTCCAGCTCATTGTTCTTTTCTCATTTGTATTCTGATGACATTGAACATATTGTTAATACATTTTGTACATTGTATACAAGTTGTATGTCATAAAAAAATGTAATCTCTGTATGTTTTGCACAAATAAATAAACAAATAAATAAAGTATAATTTTAAGCTGTAAGCACCAGCACGCATAGATTTATGAATATCTATGCCAGCACGTCCCAGCCGGGTTCGTCACATATTTGGTTCCCCTGGAAACATTTCCGTTGTGCTCTGTGTTATTTGCAGCATGTGTCTGTATTTGGTGTTGTTGTGAGTATTTGGAGCACACGTGTGTTGTGAAACTGATGAAGATGTTGTCTTAATTTGCGGGTGTTTTTTTTATTTGCACGCGTTTTTTTCTATTTGCACGCGTTTTTTTCTATTTGCATGTGTGTTTTCTTCTATTTGCATGTGTGTTTTCTTCTATTTGCATGTGTGTTCTTCTATTTGCATGTGTTTTCTTCAGTTGCAGCGCGTTGAGCTCTCTCGGCCACCGTACGTTTCTCTGTCGTTATCATTACACTTCTGGTGGACTCATCTGTTTTTTTTTTTTTTTTAAATGATTTTAAAACAGTCTTTATTGTTATCATTATAGTTATCATCCTTGGTGTGAACAGGCCTTAAGATTAAAAACTGTTTTTTTTAGACCACTTTAAATGTACTTACTGATGAAGAAAAACTCTGAATAACAGTTTTTTACTAATTAATTTGAGTTCATTGGATGAAGTATTGGATGAAGTATTCACAGTTCACATTAGCATCACCTGACACCAACTAAATTTGCTGCTGTTTAGGTTGGAGCTGATGTCTGCTAATGAGGGCAGTGTTGAGAATTTCACTCAAACGGTATTGACATTCTTGAAGGACAAGAGTTTAGACGGTCTAGACGTGATTTGGCCGGACGGCCTCACTTCTGACGCATCTACCAGAAGCAAAGAGCTGTTCTCAAATTTCCTGAAGGCAAGGACTACTATTTTCATACAAATCACCATGTAATGAGTTTTACTTTAGAAACAACAAATATACAAATCTTATTTTAATCACAAACTTCCGTGTTGTCTGCAGAGTCTAAAAGGCACTTTTGATGAAGAAACGGACCCTCTACTTTTGTCAGTGTCTGTACTAGAGCCCAGTGACAACAGTGCGGTCAGTTATGATGAACGAACACTTTCACAGTGAGTCTCGTTCTTATGCACCATTCATATTTCACTTCTGCTCAGTTATTATTATTAATTTTTTTTGGTACTTAATAGTTTCTTTCTTTTTTATAGGTATGTGGACTTCATCTCCATTCTGCCTGCTCATCTTGAAAATGATGGACTATACATTGTAAATTGCTTACATTTATTACAATTTGCTATGACAGTCGTTTATTTGTTGGTTTTAAAATATACTGTATTGCATCCCGCGTGATGTAAACGAACAATAGGTCAAACACCATTTCTACCACTAAAACCATTTCCCAAAAGGGAAAATTTGCATTTGTAACTCTGTTTATACACGCTGTGAGAGTGTGTTACAAATCAGGAATGGTGAGAGAACATTGTGCTTGGTATGTTTTTCATCTTCAAACCAAACTTGGGTCTCCAGCCGACAAATTTTAAATCCCGTCTGGCTAGCGCGCTTCCCATAATGTTTATGCATTAAGTCAGTAGGTGGAGAGGAGGCGGTCTTTTGTGGTTGTTCGACCACATAAGCGTTTACACTATGAAAGTAATGCCTCTGGAAGTGGTCGAAAGCGTCGTGAACTTGTGATCTGATCGACCAAAGCGCATCTTAATACGAGGTGGAAACAGGGCCTAAATGTTATTGGAGGATCAAGTAGTATGTAGATCTGTAATATTCATGTAAATCATATTTTGTTGTTACCCAGCTAACAAAAATATGTTCTAAGAGTGTTTTGCTAACGTTCCCATTAAGTTATGAAAACGCTATTTCTAATCGTTCAAAATGCCCAGTTTTTTTTAACATGTATTATAAACAACAAAGGGTTATGCGAATTTTAAAGGAACATTCCATTTTGTAATTTTGCAAACATTATGGGAACGTTACTTTTAAATTATCTCTGAAACAAGTAATATAATATGAAAAATGTTAGAACGTTTCAGAAAAAAAGTTATGTTTATGCGTCAACTTTTTGTGAGCATTATTAAAGACCAGATAACTTTGAACTAATGTTCTATTGACGTTACGTTTGTTCATAACTTTGAGAGAACCTTGCCAGAACGTTAGCCAAAGTCCTGAGAACGTTCCCTGTTTGCTGGTTAGCACATTAGCATTCTAACTCTGTGTTTAACTCATATTTCTTTTACTTTATAGAACAAATCAGTCCAACACTGGCAGGATCAGCAAGTTGACTTGCAAAAGCTCAATCTAGTCATGCCTGGTTTTCTCCGGAGGTCACGTCGAAGGCATCATCATAGACATCATTCCACGCATGATGACATGAATTCAGAGGAAGGAAAGAAGGATCACATCCATGTTTTGGGCTTATACATGGGTGGTCAGGTAGGCTATAACCATAGATGGCATTAGCTTAGCATTAATTATTAGCTTCCTCAGGGAGAGCTTAGGCAAAATTGTTTAATGATCTGAAACTCTTATCCTTTCAGGTGTGTCAGGTCATTAAAAGTGGAGAAGAGCAGTTTATTACTTTAACAGTTCTTTCAGATGAGCATAGTCTTGTTAAGGAGGTAAGTAAAGTATATTTTTAAATCAGTAACATAATGTAAACTACTAAACACAGTACAAGTAATGATATTGCATTTATTAATGTCCAGGTGCTCCGGGAAGGCTTCGGTGGCATAGGGGTTGTCTTCATAGATCTAGACGTCTTCGTTAACTCCATATGTGTAAACATTAATCAAGATGAAAGGAGAATTGTTGAATCAAAAGTGATTATGCATTCACATCATGGGCGTGATGATCATCATCACAGAAGGGACCATCACCTCAGCCACCACCATCATCGCTCTTCCCATCTTCCTCATGGCAGCCATGATACTGGTCACCATCACCACAGACATCATCCCCACAGACATGGACATCATCATCATCGCCATCACCATCACCATCACCATCACCCCCATCCAATAACTCCTCAAAGCAACATGACCCGGGAAGAACAGCAGGGCGTGGAGTGAACTTGCATAGGATGTAAGTTAATGAAATCCATGCAAATGTGGTGTTTTAAGATTGGCAAGTTTAAGTAAGTTTTAATAATCAAATATATGTATTATATAATACGTATATGATATTAATAATACAAAATTTAAATATTACTTTTTACACATTACAAGTTCAAGTTTGAGGCAAAATAATCAAACTTTATATATAAATCACACAAAATGTACCATTTAAATATTACTTCTTCCGCATTATAGTGATGAGCTTTTTTTTGCATTGTAGTTATGCCAATGACATTGCAATATAGTAATGTAAAAGTTTTTTTTTGCATTACTGTAATGAGAATTTTTTATGCACTGTAGTACTGAGAATTATATATTTTTTGCTTTATAGTAATTAGAATAATTTTGTTTTGCATTATGGTAATGAGATTTTTGTTTTCATGTTTTCACTAATTGCTTATTATCAGGGGTGGAAATGGCTGAGATTCATTGGGGGACCCTAGTTGGGGACATATTTTGTATTTTTAAACCATAGATGCAGAAAATCCCACTATATTCGTATATGTATGAAATTTGCATAAAATATGGAAATCCTCTACATGGTGAATGTAGAGGATTCCCCCCCCCCCCCCCCCCCCCCATGTAACAATGTAACAATATAATCATGCTTTTCAGTGTTAAAACACAGAGATTGTGTTATTGTGTGTCAGAGAGCTTGATAACAGATCAATACAGCATTATGAAATAAATATGTATTCCAAAAGTCTCAGAGGTTTCACATTCTTTTCTTGGGACAGTAATACAAAGCTGTGAGAGATTCATGCTTGTGCATGTGGATGTTCCTCAGCATCTGAGTTCATTAAGCTCCAAAGCTATAATTGTATGACCGAAATTACGGTTCCAGCAAAAGCTTATTAAAACCAGGCTTGGATGATCCAGAGATCGAGCCTCTTGAGGGCGATTGGCTTCTGCTTTTGGAGCGGCAGGTGTAGGCATGGCTGGCCCAATGGCAGTGAGATCTGCTTTAGTTTATGCATGAGTAGATTTATGAGGCTATTACTTGGACGTCCTGGGGTACATCACACAAACACACACACACACACACCTGGTTCTCTGGCTGCCTGTGACTCAGAAGTGCAGTGGCACAGTGGGTATGTACAAGGATCCTGCTGCTTCAGGCTTTAATTGGGAGCGTTTGGAGACTCGTGTAAATTACAGGCCATTCTCTCCTTGTGCGAGAACACGTTCCTTAATGTCATCCCTGCATCACAGGCTGGTGATTGTCATTTAGCATCTTTTAGAGAAGAATGTGTTTGTGTTACATTGCACATTTTTTTAAATTCAGTTCAGTGTTCTCCCATAAAAACTGATGGCAAGTATTTAGTAACATCTTGGCACAATTAATGTTCTTTATTTTCTTATTTTAGAACACTATAGAGGCAAATTATCATAATTTTTTTTTCTAAGATTGTGTTTTCTAAGATAACTTTTCCATTTTTTTCCATTTTTTTTTTTCATTTTTTTAACACTGATCACAGAAAAGACAAAAAAAAAACTAAACAAAGGACAAGTGTTTTATTGTTTATATTATTAATTATTAATAATATTATCTTTTTTGCACATTTGTTAAACTTTACACTTATTTTTCACATGTGAAAACAAAATGAGTAATCGGGAGCCCATAAAGGGACATGGTGATGGAACAAAATATGAGATGGTAGTAAAAGTAATATGTCAATGCTTTTATGCGTTCACCCGAGAAACTTTCCGATCGCTTGCAAATAACACAGAAGTTTTGTGAGCAAACGCAGTTTCTCAGGGGAAAACAAAAGCATTAAAATAAATTTTTTCCTCCCATCTCATATTTTTCACCATGTCCCTTTAAGGGCTCCGTAGTTCAATCAATCAATCAATCAATAAATTGATTCGTCCGTCCGTCAAACCATTTAATATTATTTCATAAACTGTTTTAAATTATGTTTTTATTTTGAGTTTCCTTACTACATGAAATATATTCATAAACAAAAAGTGACATGTTTGTCATCATATTTGAGAATAACCCTGCAGTACAGCATGCCTTTAAGAGTATAATGTCAATTATTTCCCCTCATTTCTCACATCTACATGACATTTGACTCAAAATGTCTTTAAAAAAAAAGTTACAAGATTATTTAATCAATATCCCAGTGTGAGCAAGTGATCCATATCCCACGTTGGGCAGCTATTAAATTATAGTTCCTGCCAGGACACTGTGAAATGACAAAACCAGGCAACAATTTAACTTCTTCTGAACCATTTGTCCGTTTTCTGTCAAGTGAATTAGAGAAGGGGAAATTGGAAGCACAAGATTGTCTTTTGGGACCGTTTTTGCCTAGTGCCATTTTGATAAAGATACAGTATAGTCCCAATTTAATTGTGTCTTTGAGTGTTTGAAGTTTATTAATCTATAAAACTCGAAAACGAACCAACAGCACTGAGATATGTTCCTCTCTGTCCTTTCATTAAAATGGAAATTCCAATTTGCAGCACCCTAACAAGCAGCTGACAGCATAAATAAACCACTTCATTTTAGCCAGACTTACAGATGACACACAAGCGCTTTTACAGAATCAAACAACCTTTGGACAGTGATCAACTAGTGTGATTAATCGTACAGATCTTCTCCTGACAAAATCTGTTGTTCACAGAATATGGTGCTATAAATCTCTGGCCAGCGCTGGCCATTACAAACCAATTCTGGACATTGCTGGATGGCTAATATTATAATTTATGTTGTCCGTTGTCTCATTCCACTGGTCTGATTGCAAATAAATGTTCCATGAATGGTATTAGTAATTAATTTAGGCATAAAATTGCAAAGCCTCTGCATTTGGTTAGAGGATTTTTAATTGCTTAAAGTCCACTTGAGCAACTGGGCCATGCATCATATAGCATACAATTAACTCTGTTGTCTGTTTGCTCCAATATGAGAAATGAAATTCTCTGAGGAAAGGGATTTATGCCAGGTTGTTTATGTGAAGTTGCTATGCTGTTCTGAGTGGCGTTTTACCATGGTATGTGGTGTTTTGGGGCTTACTTGTTCGAAAGAGACTCCTTCAGTGTACGTTTGTGAGACTTTTCACCTCTTTTACTGTCTAGCAGTCGAAAATAATAAGAATCACTCCCAAAAATCACATCTCTCCTTATTAAGCTGAATGATTTTCATCATGTTTGTAGCCTAAGCGATGAACGAGGTTTCACTAAGTAAAACATTCCTGTCCCTAACCCTACCCCTAAACCTAACCCTACCCATAAGTTATCCCTAAAATCAGAGAGAAATGATGTGAATAACCATGCAACGCATTCTCATAAGGCATCATATACTGACGCTTTTGCCAAAGTGTCTACATCCGACGCACATGGCACCCTTTAGCGTCAATATAACACGCTTCGGTTATGGGTAGGTTTAGGTCTGGGGTAGTGTTAGGGTTAGACCACTAGGAGGCGCCATATATCTGCGTCTCATATTGACGCTAAAGGGTGCCATGTGCGTTGGATATAGACGCTTTGGCAAAGGCGTCAGTATATGACGCCTTGGGATGAGAACGGGCTGGAATAACACGGATGTAAAAGCACCTAACTCTGGTTGTAAGCTAAAACTTGACATAAACGTGTCCCTCAAATCTGATTGGTTGATTGGAATGTTGTTCCAGAATCAACAAAGATGTTGATCCAGGAACATGTTGTACTTTATGAAATGACGTTCAAAAGGCAGAAACACATGGTACGAGTTTGAAGGTCTCTTTAAGGCAAGTCAGTCTACTCTGCAGCCATCTTGAAAACACCACCAGGTAACTGTTTCCAGTAATGCAACTATACAATTGAATGGGGAAACATTTACGATCTAGGTACAGGCTACTGTTCAGAGTTATAGCGTACTTTGATATTTCACTCACTTTTCCCCTTCATATCACTGTAAAAAGTGATCAGTTGACCGAACTTAAAAAAGTGAGGAAAATTAGTTCACATAACTTAATTTTTTTTCAAGTACGCATTAAGTTTATTACCTAATTTTAAGGCAACGGGTTTCCTCACATTTTTAAAGTTAAGACAACTGATCACTTTTTAACGTATAGTTATACACATAATTCTCTGCAAAGTGCCATCTGCCTGATTATGCACAGTGTCTCTAGCTCTTGACCTTTGTGTAAACAATAAAAAACCTGTATTCTTAGGAAAAGCATTAGGAGAAATCCTTGAGAAAAGAACTCGTCGTCGGAGAAGAAAGAGCTGGCAAGGAGCCTCTGTCTTTCTGAACTGAACCCAATGTCATTTTTCTTCCGTTGAGCTGAAAGGATTGGCAGCATTCATGAAATTCAGATGTTAAAGATATCTTCTTCGAATTAATGCAAATGGTGGCCCGGGCTTTGTTCAGTGGCCGGACAGAAATTTAAACGGGCCGTGTAAAGCTGTAAACATGCTCCCGAGGGATCTCATTATGAACTATATGAAGAGGTCAATGCACACTCTGTCGCCTCCATGCATGCTAATATTGTAACATGCTTGTATGTGCTGAGTGCTTGATTATGTAGTGGGGTGATTTCCATTATTACACTGACTCCAAAAACCGGCTCCATGCTCATAACTGAGTTTACTAGGGTGATGAGTGCGAATAGCTGTGTGTTTGTTTGAAAAATAATGAAATGGCTATTTGATGCTACCAATCCAGCGTGATTCTGCTTTGGTGTATGTGCCTGTTTTCCCCATCATCACGCTTATCTTACACATGCACACACATATGGTGTCCATTTTTTACTGTCAATCACAGCCTCATCTGATTATATCGTTCAACTTATATTTTGTGGTTGACTGGATGCAATAGAGTGCATGCAGTGAGCACAGGAGGCAATGGAGGTGACCATAGTGAGCCATGCAGCTATTTACTTTAAAAAATGATTGCAGTTGCATGTGAGGTCACGATGGCGGATTCTGTGGCTGCAATCCATTCTACCAAAACTAGCTGTTCAGAAACCTCATGTGGTAATCAATAAAAGTTCATTTTCTCTGACCTTTAGACCCGATAATGGGGCAGTTATTTGTGTGCTATAGTGTTAAGTGATGTGAACCAGCAGTAGCAGAATATATATATATATATATATAGTAAAATAATAAAACATATATATATATAGTAAAGTAATAAAACATATATATATACTATTGTTATTATTTTACACTTGTCAAAAGGAGTAACCCTAACAAAGCTTCTTGATACTCAAAAATTCATGATATTTGTAAAAACAATTACATTAATATGACTTACGAAAATGATTAAGTTTTGTATTCAAAGTGAATGGAAGGTT